GAATAAATAGCTGCTTTGTTTGTCAGGAAACAGATTGACGCACACTTTGGCCTAAATCCAGAAGTTGATTCTGGTAAATCAAATAGAAGGACCATCTTTGTTTAGAAATTAATATAGCTGGATAATCCTAGGATGGAATGAAGAGAATAAAAGAGTTGAACTCAAGTGATCACTACACACTGGGACCCGACTGTGTTGAGTCGCACTCTGAGGGTCACACTTCCAAATGTCTTCCACTATTTCACCTTCAAGTTATATAAACAACTCATCTTCTAGCTGAAAGAGTTACTCATCTTCATCAATGTCACAAACATAGCACATTTTCCTCATCCCTTATCAATCACATCTAGACTATTGGTGTTTCTTATAGCCACCTGTTCTCTGTTCTCACTAGCCCAAGTCAGAGCCACATTACTCTTTTTTTTTTAAGTAAAAGCACTTGATTTTAGCTTACATTTTTTGAGGCTTGTACCAAGTTTCCCAAGGCAGCTGTAATAAATCGTCACAAATTTGGTATCTTAGCATCATGGAAAGCAATATGGGTGTTCCTCAAAAAATTGAAACTGTAACTACTATATACCTAGCAATCTCACACGTGGTGTATTTCAGAAGGAAATGAATACAGCAATCCCATGTTTATTACAGCATTATTCACATTAACCAGGATATGAAAACAACTTAAATCTCCATTAACAGATGAATAAAGACATGATTGATATAGGCATATCACTTTCAGTGTATATACACTGTACACATACACAATGTAATACTGTTCAGTCATAAAAAGAAGGCAATCCAGCCAACTGCATATTTTAAACTGCTGAGCTTTATTGTAAGTGAAATAAATCAAAGACAAAAATCTTAGGTGGCGTTTTTAGAATTCTCTCTATGTGATACTATCTACAAAGATAAGTTTATGATTTTGGTGCTTTTTTTTTTTTTTTCTTGCTACATTGCTCTGGCTAGGATTTTCCAGTGCTACGTTGAATAGGAGTGGTGGGTGTGAGTGCCCTTTTCTTGTTTCTGATCTGAGAGGAAAATTCTCAGTCTTTCATCATTATGTTATTTGTATGCTTGTCATATATGACATTTATTTCTTCTATGCTCATTTGGTTGGTTGAGCCTTATCATGAAACAATGATGTATTTTGTCAACTGGTTTTTCTGAATTTATTGAAATGATAATGTGAATTTTAATTCCATTAATAGTGTGTGTCACATTTATTGATTTGCATGTGGTGAATCACACATTCATCCCAATGATAAATCTCTCTTGGGCATGGTGTGCAGTGCCTATGTGCTGTTAAATTCTGCTAGTATACTTTTTGAGAATATTTTCATCTATATTCATCAGGCTTACTAGCCTGTATTTTTATTTCTTTGTAGTATATTTTTCTGTCTTTGGTATCAAGACAATGCTAGTCATATAAAATGAGTTTGAAAATGTTCCACTGTCTACATTTTTGGGGAGAGTTTGAAAAAGATGCACAACTCTTTAAATGGCTGGTAGAATTCACCAGTGAAATTATGTGGCCCTGGTCTTTTCTTTTTGGAAGGTTTTGATTACTAATTCAGTCTCTTTACTTCTTATTCATTTATTGAGACTTTTTCCTTTTTTTCTTACTATTTATGGTTACAACATATGTTTCTAGAAATCTGTCCATTTCTCTGAAATTTCCAGAAGTTTTATTGGTGTATAATAGTTCAAATTAGTCTGTGATGAACCCTAGTATTTCTGAGTTATCTATTGTTGTGTTTCAACCTTCATTTCTGATTTCAGTTATTTGAGGTTTGTGTGACTGTGTGTATTTGCTCTAGCTAAATTTTTTATCAGTTTTATTTACCCTAGTTTTGTTGATCTTTTTTATTGTTTTTATGATCTCTATTTCCACTCTAGTCTTTGTTATTTCCTTCCTGCTGCTAACTTTGTGCTTAGTTTGTTTTTTCTTTTTGTATTTCCTTGAGTCACAAAGTTAGGCTGTTTGAAATCTTGTTTCTTAACATAGGCATTTATCTCTATTAACTTCACTCTAAGAACTGCTATTTCTGTTTTTCATAAATTTTGGTATATAGATTTATATATATACACCCTTTTGTTTCAGTTTGAAAAGCTTATTTTAGTATTTTTTACAAGGTAGGTGTAGTGTTGATGAATTCTCTGAGCTCTTGTTGGTTTAAATGTTTTTTTATTTCTGAAGGACAGCTTTGCTGACTAGAGTATTCCTGGATGGCAGAATAATTTTTTTTTTTTATTTTGTCAACATTTTGGAGATACCATCTCACACTCTTCTGTTTTTGCTGAGAAATCTGTTGACAGCCTTGTAAGACACAAGCTTTACCTCCACCCCTTTGCTACTTAAAGATTCTTTGTCTTAATTATTTAATTTTTACTATAATGTGTCATGGGGAGAATATGAATTGATTTTGTGTGATGATATTTGAACTTTGTAAACATAGTATATCTCTTCAGTTTGATAGGTCCTCAGCTATTATTTCTTTAAATTAGCTTCTTGCCACCACCTTTTCTTCTTCTGGAAATTCAGTAACATATAAATCAGTCCTTTTGGTGGTATTTCATACACCATGCAATTCTTTCATTCTTTTCCAATTTTTTTTTATTTTGTTCTTCTCTGAATGGATAATTTCCTATCTCCTCTCTTAGATTCTTTCTTCTGACAGGTCTCTTCTGTTGTCGATGCTTTTTGTTGCCTTTTTCACTTCATTCATTCCACTCCAGAATTTGGTTCGTTCTATATTTTCTGTCTTTGTTAATCTTCTCATTTTGTTAATGTATAATTTTCCTGATTTTGTTTAACTGTTTCATTACAGCTGATTCATTTCCTTAAAATAATCTGTTTTGGGTTTAGGGGGTCAATTAGTGGATGGTTATTGTGATGCTTCAGTGGCTGTCTTCTTGACTGTCTATGTTCCTTACAGTTTTGAATTGCCTTGTTCTCACAGAAGTAGTATTCATCTCCTCCTGTCTTATTAACTGACCTTTGAAGAGAAATATCACCTGTAAGTCCTGCCAGTGATTTGGGGTCATTCACAGATCCATGCTTTTTTTTTTTTTTAAAGATTTATTTATTTATACAGAACCGGGGTACAGGCCAGAGATGTGGAGGGTGAGAGGATTCACCAGAGACAGTGGGGAGCAGAACAGGCAGAGCAACGAAGTACACTGCTGAGGGGAGCAG